AACATGTTAACATCGTTAATAATGATTATAAGCACATTGGCTAGCATCACTTTTACATTGTTAATATTAACAATTATCAGTATTACTAATATAATGGCAAGAATTAAACATCTTAACATCGGCAAGTGACTCACCCAGCAGGAGGGGCAGGATGGCGCGTTTCCACGAGGCAGCGCTGGCTCTCCTCCTCGCCTCGACTCTGGCTGCGTCGCCTCGTAAGTCATGGGGGTGGGGGTGGGGGGTGGGGAGGGGGGGTGTAAAGCTGTGCAGATGATGCGATTAGGAAGTTATAGTATTTCGCTGAAGCTGCTTTACAAAAGAAAAGGATAACGGAATTGTTGTAATATAGTCAAAACGTTAATCATGATAATATTGATGTTAATAATGATATGATATAATGATAATAATATTGCTGTTTACAGCAACATATTGCTCTCTACAACAAAGATAATGCTATTTATAATAAAAATGTCAATATCAATAACATTAAAAGCAGTGACAGTAGTCAACCAGTATTCGCAATGACAGCAGTAGCAACAACAGCTCTCCCCCACGCAGCGCACACCGAATCCCCGCCCAGTGACAACCGAGGGCACAGAGGGCCGGGCAGTGCCATCGGTGACCAGTGCCAACTCAAGGGCGGAGGGCAAGGGGAGTGCCGGGAGCTCTTCTCTTGCCCTTCGGTCGTCAGGAACATCAGGAGGGCCACGCCGAACATATGCGCCTTCAGGGGCCACGCGCCTATCGTCTGCTGTCCGGAGGAAACCGGTGAGAGAGAGGGAGGAGAGGAGGGAAAGAAGGAGAAAGATATGGAAAGGGGGGAGCAAAAAGGGAAAGAAGGAGAGAGAGGTTGAAAGATGCAGAGATGTCGAGAGATAAGGAGAGAGAAGAGAGAAAATGAAAAAGAGAAAAAGAGAGAAAGAAAAAGCGGGAGAAGGGTAAAGGGAAAGCGAGAGAAGAAAAGCAGAGAGAGTAAAAAGAGTGAGAAAGGGAGAGAAAAGGAGAACGATAAGGAGAAAGAGAGAGAAGGTAGGAGAAAGGCGAGAGATAAGAAGAGAGTAAAAGAAAAAAGGAAATTGAGAGAGAGAGAAGAAAAAAGTGGTTAGTAATTAGTGAAGAATGGTGAAAGAAGTAGAAAAAATTATGAATATGAGAGTAATAATATTAAATCCCTTTTTCACTGAACAGCTACAGGCGATGAGCCCGGACGAAACTCCTCTTCCATTGCACCTGAAATTTCTGCGCCTAAACTGGACTTTGGTAAGATATTCTAACAACATTTTAATCGCTAGGAAACATTGCGCTCTCTGTTACACAAACGTGCGCTAACACACACACGCACGATAAAAATGCTCGTGGACACACACACACACACACACACAGATATATATATGTGTGTGTGTGTATATATATATATATATATATATATATATATATATATATATATATATATATATATATATATATATATATATATATATATATATATATGTATATATGTGCCGCGATGGTCCACTCCGACCCTCGTGGTCCCGAGTTTTACGGTAGTCGTGAAAAGAAAAAAAAATGCCTGCGCTCTGACTGCTGGCTCGAGCCCGAGAAAATGACATATCGCCTTGAGAAGTCAAAGCAGGTGTCGTAAGGGAAGTCACCGCCGTGGCACAAATGTTAGCACGCCAAACCGCGGTTGATTAGGAAGGGCATCCAATCAGGCAAGGGTGGCACTGCCATATAACCTCTCGACAGTTAATTAAGAGAGGCCTATGTCCTGCAGTGGAATGAATGGCTGTTAAAAAAAGAAAGAAAAAAAAGAACAAAAAAAAAAAAAAAAAAAAAAAGAAAAAGAAAGAAAAGAAACACACACACACACACACACACACACACACACACACACACACACACACACACACACACACACACACACACACACACATATATATATATATTTGTGTGTGTGTGTGTGTGTGTGTGTGTGTGTGTGTGTGTGTGTATGTGTATCTGTCTATCTATATACACATACATAGAGATAGATAGATAGATATAAATAAATATTTATGTGTATTTATATGTATATATATATATATATATATATATATATATATATATATATATATATATATATATATATATATATATATATATATATATATATATATATGGTATTAACCACGGCATCCTCCTTTTCAGGCTGCGGGCGCCGAACCAAGCAGAAGCACCCTCTCGCAGGCGATGTCGTGGGCGGCGTAGAATCCATGCCTAACTCGTGGCCCTGGATGGTAGGGTCCTCACAACAGGCTTTTATGATTTATTCATAAAGTTATTTATGAATATGTGTATCTGTATGTTTGTATAAAGTATTTGCTCGTCTCTGTTTCTTGTCTTTGTCTTTGCCTCTCTCTCTCTCTCTCTCTCTCTCTCTCTCTCTCTCTCTCTCTCTCTCTCTCTCTCTCTCTCTCTCTCTCTCTCTCTCTCTCTCTCTCTCTCTCTCTCTCTCTTCTCTCTCTCTCTCTCTCTCTCTCTCTCTCTTTCTGTGTTTGTCTCTGTCTTTGTCTCTGTCCCTCTGTATATGCAAATTCATATACATATACATATACATACTTAATACAAACACACACACAAACACATATAAATGTGTGTGTGTGTGTGTGTGTGGTTGTGTGTGTGTGTGTGTGTGTATATATATATATATATATATATATATATATATATATATATATATATATATATGTGTGTGTGTGTGTGTGTGTGTGTGTGTGTGTGTGTGTGTGTGTGTGTGTGTGTATGTGTGTGTGTGTGTGTGTGTGTGTGTGTGTGTGTGTGTGTGTGTGTGTGTGTGTGTGTGTATGTGTGTGTGTGTGTGTGTGTGTGTGTGTGTGTGTGTGTGTGTGTGTGTGTGTGTGTGTGTGTGTATCCCTACGTTTTCAAACATCTGATTTTCCTCCGCAGGCAATATTAGGGAGGCTGGAAGCGCGGGGTCGCGTCACGTGGTTTTGTGACGGCGTCCTCATCTCGCCCTCCTTCGTCCTCTCCGCCGCCCACTGCGCTGCGAACAGGTAGGTGGAGTCGATAGTGTTCTTTTAAGTGCGGGGCAGTGGGTTTGTGTTTATCAACAATTTCTGATAAATATTGGCTCGAAGATATACTCCATCTCGTATATCTTTAGATTATTGTTGGCTAATTGTTGATTATAATAAGTATAACTTCGATTATTCATTCTAAATATTTCTGTACGTATTCATAACGGGAATTACTATTATCGAATTTCTCTTCTCTATCCCCCACTCTCTTCTCCACCCTCCCCACCGTCCCACTCACCCTCCCCCCTTCTTCCCCTCCTCTCCCCCCTTCCACCCTCCAACCCATCCTTCCACCCACCCTCCTACTCATCCCCCCAACCGCCCATCACAGCCCCGTGGACGTGGTTCGAGTCGGCGCCCATGATCTCAGGCAACGCGGGGCAGCCCAGGAGGACCTGCCTGTCGAGAAAGTGATCCTCCACCCGGATTACGCCTTTCCCAGCTCCTCCCACGACCTGGTTCTCCTGAGACTTTTCAGGCCCGTCACCCTCGGTCCCCACGTGTGTTGCTCCGTCACTTTGTGTTCTGCGTGGGACCAGCATCTCTAACATCATTACTTGAATCTTAGGCCTTTGTTGTTGTTAATATGATCGTTATTGTAGTTGGGAATTAGAGGGACTAATTCTATTAACATTATATGAAATAACCTTTTTTCAGTAGTACATAATTACTGTACGGAATTTTGACGACATTGTAACGTAAATTATATTTCTCGCATCGTAGAGATACCAATGCTCATTCGTATCTAATTCACACTAAGTTCCCTCAAGTCATCGTTATTTTATCCTCTTCTGTTCCCTATTTCGTATCTAATTCAGTTGCTCGTCTGACTTCGCAGGTCACTCCCGCCTGCCTTCCCTGGACTGCCGAGGGCGCGCCAGACCTCAGCGGGAGGAGGCTCATTCTGGCCGGGTGGGGAGCGACGGAATTCGGTGGGTGTCCCGCGCAGGCGTTTTTTTTTTTTAATTAATTTTTTTTTTTGCATGTGTTTCCTTGTTCTGTTTTTGGTCTGTTTTATTTTTTCTGTTTGTTTCCTTTTTTCTGGGCTTGTACTTTTTTTTTGTTTAACTTTTATGGTGGATGAAATACCGTGTCATACTTTTTCCCTGATAAATAACACAGATAATCAATATATTCATAATGAACTCTCCTCAGAAAGAACAAATACAATAAAAAAAACAGTAAATAACTCATCTCTTATGCGTCCAACCATGCCCCAGACGGAGAGATGAGCAACGTCCTGAGGGAAGTGACAGTGGAAGTGTTCCCGGCGAGCAAGTGTGCCTCTGCCTACGAGTCCGTCGCCCACTACGCCAGGCGGTGAGGGGCGCGACCTTTGGCATTGTTTTTGTTTTTCTGTCGTTGTTGTTATCATTATTATTACTATTATTGTCATCATCATCATTATTGTTATCACTATTGTTATTGATATTATTATTATTATTATTATGATCATTGTCATTACCATTATTGTCATCATCATCATCACTATTGTTATTGATATTATTATTATTATGATCATTGTCATTATCATTATTGTCATTAGCCTTATATTTCTCCTTAGATTTCCTGAGGGCATTAATGAAGACTTTCTCTGCGCGGGTGACGTCCGCGGAGGCAAAGATGCTTGTCATGTGCGTTAATTTATGTTTTGTCATGTACATTTACAAGTGCGCGAGCACATACACGCACACGTGTGTGTGTGTGTGTGTGTGTGTGTGTGTGTGTGTGTGTGTGTGTGTGTGTGTGTGTGTGTGTGTGTGTGTGTGTGTGTGTGTGTGTGTGTGTATGTATATGTATATGTATATGTATATGTATATGTATATGTATATAAATATGTATATGTATATGTATATGTATATGTATATGTATATATATATGTATATGTATGTATGTATATATATGTATGTATATGTACGTATATGTATCTTTATGTATATATATATGTATGTATATGTACGTATATGTATCTTTATGTATATATATATATGTATATACATGTATATATCTATCTGTCTGTTTGCCTTTATATCAATTTATCTATCTATCTACATATAATGTATATATCTACACACATATTCATATATACATACACGCACACTCAGTTATATATATATATATATATATATATATATATATATATATATATATATATATATATATATGTATGTATATAAATGTGTGTGTGTGTGTGTGTGTGTAAATGCCCACGAATATTACAATAAAATGATATTACATACTATTATAAACTTAAACTACAAACATTTAAAACAATGAATATAACAACCCAGTATGTTACTGCTTTCCATACTAAAACCAGCACTTGTTTCTTTCTTCCCTCTCCCCCCTTTGCCGCACAGGGAGACTCCGGCGCCCCTGTCGTGTACAACCACTTCGGCGTGTACATGGCGGCCGGGGTGGTGAGCGCGGGCTACGGCTGCGGACTGGCGGACTTCCCCGGCCTCTACACCGCCATCCGTCCGCGCTTGAAGTGGATCCGGGAAACGGCCTTCTCCGATTATCCGTGATTTATTTTCCAAGTTCGGTTCATCAACTCTTCTTTTGCCTGAACGTTCCCCCTTTTTTGTTGATCTGTTTAACTTTTATTTTATATGTTTATATGTTCCAGGTGGTTTATTTGAGTGACGAACAATGTGTTGTTATTATTTCTATAAGTTTTCATTTGTTTTGCTTTTTACGCGTATTTGGGATTTTTAAAATATTTTATGAATACATTGTACAAATATGTTTTAAACACCTTGTACAAATAAGTTTCGTTTTTTGTAAGAATTAAGTCTTTGGCTATACCATTGCTGATAGATTTTTTGTTAATGTGAATCATTAGGCCTTGACGTTTAGATATGAATCTACGAACCATGTTTTGAAAACTGATTTGAACATTCGTGTACTTTTGTCTTGTGAATGAAGAGCATGAGAGATTCAGCAAGAGACGTAAAGAGTAGAGAAAGAGCAAATAAAGCGTTTATATTGTAAATTGTATAAAATAATATTAAATTAATTTCCTTCAGGTTAACATCTACATCTTTTATATCTTAAAGTGTCTCATAAACCATTTACTTTGGAAGTTATTTTGTCATGATTGAAATACGGATCAAAGTTAAATAATAGAAGTAATGACCAATAAGTTATATATCATTCAAAGAATCATTGTCATTAAACGAGTACCATCACTGATAACATTATCATAACCCTCTTCATTATTTTTGCTACTGCTACTACGGCTGTTATTATTTTCATTATTATTGATCGCTATCATCGTGACTTTCATCACTGCTTGTATTGTTATCATCCAATACCATTATTACTATCATCGTTCATTCCACCCATTATAGCTTCCATAATTTTTTCATCAGATAGGCAAACTTGGTAGTTACACATTATTTTTTGTGTTGTAAGTCTTATTCTTTTTTTTTGTATTATCTGATATAACTAAGTGTCAGTGCTATGAATAATGACAAAAAGACGTGTTTTAGGCGCATAAGGTAAGCGTGATTTAAAACTCCAGTGGTGTTAGATCCATATTAGATAAAGACATTGTCAACGATTTTCAGCTTTGACATAAAGGAGATTAATAAGTTTCAGGCAAAAGAAATGGTTTGGAATAATTTGTGAATGATTATGTAACTGTCCATTACTGGGATGCTAATACGGTTGCTGGAAAAGTGAGAAAGCCAAGTGAAGTGAATATATTCCTGCTTTTCCGTGCATGTCAACACATCCACGATATAACATAGGACTACTGAGACTCGTTGCAGATCTACTTACCCTATGACTTCCCAAACGTAAGTATATTTCTGTATAAATCTAAGGTATATTTCGCCACGTTTGATTTACTTTGGCAGAATTTAAAACTAGAATAGACGATAACTATATAGGACCTGACCAATATAGTTTCTTTCTCCAGAATTATATCATCGGTATCATGAACTGCTATATCCTAACTAGTTTATTAATCTTTCCCATGACAATAATGGTGTGATTCCTGAATAAAATTCATTAGACAACTTCCATATCATATTTCTCCTCTTTTCTTACTTTTATTGCATTTATTTTGTCTGTTAATGATGTCTCCTTTCCGAGTAGCATACATAATCGCGCCAAATGGGTTACAGATATTCGTGTTGTTTTAGGAGCTTATTCTTCTGTAACCTCATGTTGCGTATTTTATTCTCTAGGTAGATTATGTTCCCGATATGCAGGGAAGGGCCTGTGGTAGTCACTAGTTTGCATATGTGCTATTGGGTTCGATTAGACATAAGTTTGTATTAATTCATCTCTTGACATAGTTTTCTTTTTTGTTTTGTTTTGTTTTTAAAATGTCCCAGTAGAGGGCTAGTGAGTAATAGCAGATAAATCGGCCATGATCAGTTCTTCATTACCACGGCCGAATGTGTTTACTGTAGATATTGCTACATTTATAGCTCTTGTGACCATGTTCATAGAAACCCTTTAGCTATTCCCGATTAATATCCTCATATCCCTAGGCGGGTTCTTGTTATAAAAACGTATTTTTATGAGCTGGTTAGTGTTCAGTTTCATATTAATTTCTCATACGTTCTAGATTAGCGGTTCCCAACCTTTTTCATTCTGTGGGCCCCGGCTAATATATAATAATTCCCGTGGCCCCATGCCTGTCCTTTCTTTTAGGTTTGGTATTACTGGATTGTGCAATGCTAGAGATATTCCAATTTATTGATATGTGAGAGATATAGGTGGGTACTGCAGGCGATTTAAAATCTAGTTTAATTCGACGTCAAACTATTGGTCCGTGGCTCCCAGGTCGTATTTTCTAATATTTCAGTTTGTTTAGATGTCACGGTTATATACAGTCCCGGAGTCACGGCTTTCTCATATTAATATTTTTGGTTAGTTTGATGCATTATTAATGGTTAATGGTTAAAAGCAAAATAATTGTGCTAGACATCTAAGGTCATGTAGCACTATAGTAAATGTTAGTAAAGGGTGGTTAAGTTAGTGATTAGTTGTCAAAGCTGGGTGAATGGGTTAAGGTCGGGTGAGGTAAGTGAGGGATATTTATGCGTTTGAGAGGAAAACAGGTTGTCGAAGCAGGATAGGTTGGGAGGTCGGTGAAGGAAGGATAGGTGGGGGGGGGAGCAGAGCTACAGGCGGCTTCAAAACGTGTGCATGATAATAGAATGTGTGAGACTGAAAGAGGAACATTATATAAGGAGCATAGGGGTGGATCGGATTGTGACATCAGATAGGGGTGTGTTAGACGGGTGTGGAAGGGGATGCTTGTGATACAAGGGATTCACGTGTATATCCAGGAGGGAGTGGAAGGGATAGAGGGGATAGTGGGAGGGTTAATGTGGACAGGGCTGGAGTCGGGGGGGGGTGGGCTGTGTTGGGAGGGGGTAGGAGGATAGGATGGAGGGGGGATATCATTAGGAGGAGGATGAATATCGGCAGTCACTTAGTGTGTGGAGGGAGCAGGAGTTGTAGGATTTGAAGGTTGATGGGGGTCAGTTTTCATTAAGAAGTCTTGAATATTTTCAAGAGTTTCTTCAATGGAGTTGGTTGGGGAGTTTTGTGGGATAAAGGATTTCTTGTGAGGGAAGGAAGAGAAGACTGGTGTCTCAAGAGTAGGGGCAAAGGAAGGTGGAGGTGATTGTGTGGTAGGGGAAGAGAGGGTGGAACGTTTGTTCTGTCTGTTGCGGGTAGTGCGGGGAGGGAGAGGGGGAGGTGTTGGGGTTGTAGTGGAGATTGGAGTGTCTGGATTTAGGATGGCAAAAGAGTTTGACTGGGGAAGGTAGGAGGTAGAAGAGGGGGAGTTAGATGGAGGGGGGGGGGTAGGTTTAGGAGAGGATGTAGGGGCTTGGGAGGTAGGGGAAGTGGTAGAATGAGCAATATTACTGGAGTAGGTATTAAGAGAAATACCTCGTCGTCGTGCTTCTTGTCTGGCTTCACGTAGTGTGAGTCCAAGTTTGAATCTGAGAGTTGCTACCTCAGACTCAAATTTGTAGGTGGGGCAGCCCCTATAAAATACATTATGAGGGCCACCACAGTTGGTACATGTGCGTGATTATGCAGAACAGTTTGATCGAGTATGGCCAGGTTGGGCACATAGTGGGCATCTGGCTGTAGAACGGCAATGTTTGGCTGGGTGTCCTAAGCGCCAACAATTTTGGCATTGACGAGGAGGAGGTTGGTATGGTCGGACAGGAAGGGATTCTCCACCTATGTAAACATTAAATGGGTCATGTCTACGGAAAGTAATTTTGGCGATGTTAGTGTTTTTTTTTACGATGACCTCCCGGGAGGATTGTAGTATTGTACTGATGTCGCATCATAGTCTGTGAGACAGGCGAGTAAGTCTTCTCCACAATCTGACCAATCTTTGTCATAGATTGGGCAGTTTGCTGGGGAGATAGATACAGTTCCGGTGCAAGAATTGAAGGTTGGATGGGGTTCTGCAAGGATAGGGTTACCGTATAGATCAGTTAGTTTTGTTAATGCTATAGCTTGGTTTTCGGATGTTACTGTGACGAGAGGGGAGCGGTCGGGTCGGCTATGGAAAGAGACTTTGCCTACTTGTTTTTGGAGACATTGCTGGAAGAAAAGGGTGTTGTCAGAGTAGGGAGCTGTTGGGAGGGATCACGAAAAATCGGTCCCATTTGGCTGGGCTAAATAGAGTATTTAGGATTGTTGTAGAGATTGGGGTAGTAGAAGGGCGGGGGCATGTCGAAGCGGGAGTAGTGTTGAGGGAGGTAGTGTTATGGAGAGGTGGGCAATAAGGTTGTAAGGTATTAATATGGGAGGATGGGGTAGTTGAAGTAGAAGGTTGTGGAGGTAGAGGTGTTGAGCATGATGGGAGAGTAGGAATGTCTCTAGGGGGTTGAGTGTTGACTACTGTACTAGTAGGCATTGAGTAGGGGGTAGTT